TGTTCTATTGTTTCTATGTCTCTAGAGAACCCTGAAAATACACATTAACTTTCTCTATCATGGCAAGAGTCAACTGAAGAATTACAAGTGCAAACCAAACCTGCCCAACTGCCCAACGAAGAATCACCTTATTCCACATAAAAACAAAAGGCAGGACATGGTCTCCTTCATCACCTGCAAACTGCCAATGATCCTGTTTCTGATCTCTGATCAAGCAAGCACCACTTCAGTTCTACCATGAGACTATGGAATTCCTCTTCCCCAACCACTCACATGTGCCCTAGGAAGCAACCTGGAGTGCTAGGACCTGCGGAAAGTTCCCGGATTGACTGTAGTAAAGCAAATAAAAATAAGAAACCAATAATCCAACTGTCAGCACAGAAGAACCTAGGGAGTAGTCAAGGTCCCTAAGGGGTTTAGATAAAAACAGCACGGGAAACCAGAATGAAGATAAAACTGATATATTGGACTTTTAGAATAAAACTATAACCTCTTAAATTGACAACATACTGTAGCTGTGCCCTAGTATCAGAAAAGTAGGTCCATACCAATGTTACTCAATACAGTAGTCATTAGCCACATAAGGTTAATGAGCATAGAAATGTGACCAGTTTGACAGAGGACCGAAATTTTTTATTTTATTTAAACTTAATTAATTAAAATTTAAATTTAAAAATTGAAACTCAATTAAGTCAGTAGAAAACAAGGACTGGAGCAAAATGATAAAGTACATGATTAATATACACAAAACCCTGGGTCCAATCCCAGCACAAAAAGAGAAAACAGTTATTAGAAAATATCTTTGAAACAACCTGACTAAATGAATTTACTTTTTCAACTAAAATCTTTATGAAATCTCAACATAAATCAAATATTTACAATGAAAATTTTGTACCAAATTAAGATATACCCAAAATGCAAAATACATACTAGCTATAAGATATCTTTATTAATGATTTTTATTTGAAGTAAATATGGGAAGAATAATATTTGAATATATTGGGTTAAATAATATATTATTAATTTCAACTTTCAAATTTAATAATACATAGCTTATATCATACTTCTATTGCTTATCTACAAGTACAAACTTATTAAATAGACACAGAGACAAATTATAAAAAGATGCTTCATTCTACAAAAAGCTTACTTTAAGTTGAAAATACCTCTGTTGCCTCTAAAACACAATCTTAATTACATGTTTGAAGTACATACAATTTGGAGGAAAAAAGTTTATAGTAAGAAAAGAGTCATCTTCTTAGATCAGTTCACAAATAAAGCATGAGAAAGCATACTATACCAAATTATTAACAGTGATTTCAATAAATATTTAATAGATAAACAGAAAAAAAGAAGTTGGCACCTAACACTATGAAATCAACAGAAGGTAACTAATGCCCCAGATAACTTCTCAAGGGATTTAACTACAGGCTTAAGATCTGAGCAAATCTATGTACCATGTCAGCTGGTTAAGAGACAGAGAAAGGGGAAAAAAGTTGAAGACCAAAAGTGTACAATTCAGATAAGCAAATAGGTCATTCAAAATTGCCTTTTCATAAAAGATGAAGAAAATTATTAAACCTCAAGGAACTAGGAAAGATAGAGAAAAGTTTCATGTCTTTTTCCCCCTAATCACGGGAATGTGTAAAGAAAAAAAAAAGCAAAGATTTATAAATTATAGAAAATAGTAATTGCTTGAATAGCAGGATGATAATATTTATGAATAGTGTTTTCCAATAAATGATAGGTATTCTAAAAAAGAAGGTTCTGCTTATTGTCATAGGATACATAGATTATTTTATGTGACAGGAGACCAAAAGAGGTCTGTGTTGTAGGGATTATTAACTTCTGTTGTTTTTTTCCCATCTTAGATATTTGGGCTCAAATTACATTCAGAGGGAGCTTCTCAACACAAGCTTCAGTTACTCAGGCTTCAGAGAAAACAGGAATGAGCCATGTCCCTTTAAGTGGTAACCTAGCAACTTACTGAGGGGATTAGAACACAAGGACCCTTGGGGAGGAAGAGGATTCAAATCCCAAAAGCAGATTCACAGTTCTCTGAACTCCTGGATTATCATGGGGTAACTGCAGACCTTAAAGCCATTTAAAAGTAGAGCAGATCCTGTTCATCAAGTAGAGTGAGAGGCACAAGTTCTGAGTGCCCACCATGTGCCTGACATTAAACAATCTCATTTGATCCTCACAATGCCTGCAAGGTAGAAGTTATCCCATTTAACTAATAATGAAACTGATTAAAAGAGTTTAAGTGACTTGCCCAAGACTCATAGCTAGTAAATGTCAATCATTGAGAACCCAAGTATGGACTCTCTACTACACCAAATGATGGTCCTTATCCATACTGTTATAACCCGTGAAAATAGACTAACCCCAGGACTCACAGCACAGCTTAGTGATTTACAAACTTCAGTGCACTCCCTATCAACCTCCCAATGGCCAATTTTACAGAGATAAAGCTGATCCTAAAATTCTTATACAAATTGCAAAGAATTACAAAGGACCCTGAATGGCCTAAACAATCTTAAAAAAGAACAACAATATTAGAGGCCTTTGTGGAAGCAACCTAGATCCCTTCAATAAAAAAAAATGTGGCATTTATACACAATGGAATATTACTGAGCAATAAAAGAGAAAAAATCATGGCATTTGCAGGTAAATGGATGGAGTTGGAGAAGATAATGCTAAGTGAAGTTAGCCAATCCCAAAAAACCAAATGCCGAATGTTTTCTCTGATATAAGGAGGCTGGTTCATAGTGGGATAGGAAGGGGGGAGCATGGGAGGAATAGAGGAACTCTACACAGGGCAGAGGGGTGGGAGGGGAAGGGAGGGGGCAGGGGAATGATGGTGGAATGTGATGGACATCATTATCCAAAGTACATAAATGAAGACACGAATTGGTGTGAATATACTTTGTATACAACTAGAGGTATGAAAAATTGTGCTCTATATGTGTGATATGAATTGTAATGCATTCCGCTATCATATATAAAAAATAATTTTAAAAAGATTAAAAAAAAATTAGAGGCCTTACATTTCCCTACTTCAAAACTTACTACAATGTATTAGTACCCACACAGGATGCTACCAGAATAAGGATAAATGTACAGAACAATGGCATATAAAGAGTCTAGAAATACATCCATAAATCTATGGTAAATTGATTTTTTAATATATATTTTTTAGTTGTAGATGGACACAATACCTTTGTTTATTTATTTATTTACATGTGGTGCTGAGGATCAAACCCAGTTGCCTCACACATTCTAGGCAAGCACTCTACCACCGAGCTACAGCCCCAGCCCAGTCAATTTATTTATTTATTTATTTATTTTAGGGTATTGGGGCTTGAATTCAGGGGCACTCAATCACTGAGCTACGTCCCCAGCCCTATTTTGTATTTTATTTAGAGATAGGGTCTCACTGCTAAGCACCTCGCCATTGCTGAGGCTGGTTTAACTCGAGATCCTCCTGTCTCAGCCTCCTAAGCTGCTGGGATTATAGGTGTGCTCCATCGCCCTCGAACTAAATTAATTTTTGATGACAGTGCCACAACCATTCAATGGGGAAAGATGGTTTCCTCAACTAATCATGCCAGAACAAGAATGAAGGTGGACTTTTACAAAACACAATATTAAAAAAATTAACTCAAAATAAATCAAAGACTATTTAGCTTAGGGTTAGGATTGTGGCTCAGAGGTAGAGCCACATGCATGCACATAAGACATTTCTCCAAAGAAGGCATACAAATGGCCAAGCACATGAAAGCACACAAAAAGATGATCACTGTCATTAGTCATTAGGGAAATGAAAATCAAAACCATAATATCACTTCATACCCACCAGATGACTATAATCTATAAAACAGAAAACAATAAATATTAGTGAGAATATAGCAAAATTGGAAGCCATTATCATTTTGGTGAAAATGTAAAATGAAGCAGCTGCTGTGGAAACAGTTTGACAGCTCCTTAAAGTTCAACAGAAGCGAGGCACAGCGGTTCACACCTGTAATTCCAGTTTCTCAGGAGGCTAAGGCAGGAGGATTCAAGTTCAAGACCAGCCCCAGCAACTTAGTGAGACCCTGTCTCAAAATAAAACTTAATAAAGGGGTCAGAATGGTAGAGTGCGCCTGGGTTTGACTCCAACTACCACAAAAAAAAAAAAGAGAGAGAATTATCTAATAATTCATTCCCGAGTCATACTCAAAAGAATTGAAAACAGGAACCTGAACAAAACCTTGTCCACAAACCCTCAAAGCAGCACTATTCACCACAGACAAAAGATAGAAACACCAAAAATATCATTTGATAAAAGGATAAATGAAATTGGTATATCCATTCAATGGAATACTATCCAGTCATAAAAACAAATGAAGGACTGATACATGCTCCAACATGGACCAACCCTGCCAACATGCTAAGTGAAAGAACCCACACACACAGAAGGCACAATTGTATGATTCCATTTCTATGAAATATCTAGAGTAGGCAAATCCATAGAGACCAAAAGTAGATTAGAAGTTTCTGGGGGCTGGTGGCATAGAAAGTGACTGCTTAATGGGTGTGGGCTTTAATTTCTTTTTTCTTTTTGTTTTCTTTTTTGCAGACCTGGGGGATTACACCCAGGGCTTTTTCATGCTAGGCAAGCCCTCTACCACTGAGCTACACCTTACTTCTGGGATAATGTCTCAGACAGTGGTGATGGTGCACAACATTGAGAATGTACTAAATGCCAATGAAATGTGCAACCTAAAATGGTAAATTTTGTCACACATAATTTATCACAATTAAATATATATATACACACACACAAACATGCATGCACATATAATTTAAAAAATTTTAAATAATCTTCAAGTAACAACTTAATAGATTTTTCTCATGGCCAAGGCCTTGTCTCTATCCATACGTCATACTAATGTTTTCCAAAGTTGTCAGGAAAGTTGACCAGCTCTGCCCTCTGTGGGAGAGGTTATACCTACCTCCAATTACTCGAATATTGTTGTCCTTTGTCAGAATGGCCTCAGCATGGAATACCAAAACTGGAATTCTCCTGCAGCCTCCAGTCCACATGATACATGGATGATCCCTACAAACATAACAAAAGTCTTCAATAATTTTCAGCTCAAAATCTGAATTAACTTTAAGCAAATTACTATGGTTTGATGCTTAGCAACTTTCCCCTTCTTTCTAGAATAAGAACCCCAAATATCCTGTGGAAAAATCACTCATCTTCAATTCTTAGCCAGGGTTTTCAGAATGACTCTTGAGAAGGGATGGACCTTGACTGGTTTCAGCCAATGAAGGAATGCGATCGTTCAGTTACAGTGATTGGTTCAAAGATGGGGACATAAACCAATTATAACCCATGAGAAAGAGACATGTTCCCAGTCCCTGACCCTTTCTCTTCCACAGTAACTACAGGTGATGGCCTCTCTTTCCAAGAGCAGAATAAGAATGAGAAGTCTGGCACTGCAATGGTCATTTTGTGATACTGAGGGGAGAGCCCAGAGCTGTCAGTGAAGAAGGAAGTCAGGGGAGCCTAACTGACAGGAGGAGAGAAATGAAATCCTGGGTAATAGTCAGAGCTGCAAAAGCAAATCTTGCCTAAATACGAGATATGAATGCCCTGTCTTATTTAGGACAACTTGAGTCTTACTGTAATCCATTGCATGTGTAAAGAATAAAAACTGATATATTCCCAGTAATTTATATACCCCTTTAATACTCTATAATTCCTTTTTAAACCAATTTGATGTCCCATCCTAAGATTCTGGGCTACAAACCCTAAATTAAAACAAGAATCTCAATTAAAATCATATTTAAAAAAACATACAGTAAATGGGAATATATATATAATTCTTCTACTACAAAATCATAAGGCTTTTTTCTCTTTCCCTATCCTCAATTTAATCATCTTAGATAGATGATATTTACTCATGGATTAAGAAATTCTTTGGGTAGGAAAGTAGGAAGGGGGAAAAATTAAAGGAACTGAGTGGCCAGTAATGAAACTAAGAACTTTCATGTCATCCCACTTACTCCTCTTGTCCATACGATGAACTAGAAAAAAGTGTCTCAGAAGTTCAGTAACTTGCCCAAGGTCATACAGCTGCTTAAGTATACAGGTCTTTGAACCCCGGTCTCTTATTCTTTATACCCTTTGCTGAAAAATCGTATCTCAGTGAAGTTCAGCATATCGAGCACCCTGAACTCAACTCTTCCGGAATTTAAACGAATCAATTCCTTATTTGGAATAAGATTCATTTAGCCAACAATCACTCTAAAAAACTCACATGACCACACCCCTTAACAAGAGCCATACCACATATCTCAGGGCCAACTCACATCCTTCCAATCCAATCTGAATGCACAGGTACCAGGCAACTAATCTTAGAGGTTTCAGCAGCCTGTAGACTTGGGTTGAGCTGCCATCAGCTTTTTAGTGAAGATAGCAAAGAATGCCATACCTTGTTCATTTTCTGTTTTCTAGAAATGGAATGTAAATGCTAATTGTTTTTTAATGTTTTTCTCAGTTGTAGATGGACACAGTAACTTTATTTTGTTTTACTTTTATGTGGTGCTAGGGACTAAATCCAGTGCCTCATTCGTGCTAGGCAAGCACTCTAAGCCACAACCCCAACCTGCTAATTGTTCTTGTTCTTGGTCATGGTACCTATCTGTGAGAAATGGTGTTTATAGGATCCTTTCTTTCTTTCTTTCCTTATTTATTTATTTGTTTGTTTGTTTGTTTTAGCAAGGATGAGTTTTGGTGGTTTGCTCGATTTTTAACTTAAACACCTGTAAAATATGGGCTCAGACCAGATGATTCCTATGATCTCTATAATTTTTCCACCATATTTTCATGTCAGTGGATAGAGGGAGCAGATAGGCAGCCTGCACTATGAAGTCTTGGACAAAAGAACTTTGGAAACTATCCAAAGTTCCCTGTCAATCTAGCACTAGCTACAAACTGGCACCACTGTGCCTTAGCACTTACAAACAATGGATGGCTGCTACAGTTAAAAATGCCCGACCGGATCAGCAACACAATAGACAGACACACAGCTGGAAAGAGCCACCGCCCTGATTTACAGTCTGTAGGAAGCCATATCCCTGACAGAGAAATCATTTCATTTATAACCTATGGAAAGGTAAAAGTAGTAAATCATTAGTTCACCATGGTCAACTGAAAAACACTTAAGGCAGATGTTAAATTGTCACTAAAAACATGCTCCCAGCAGGTAGTACTAATGGGAAGTAAAATTTTAAATGACTGGGAAACTGAACATTGGGACCTCACAGGTTCATTCACATCAGAAACTGATAATATGAAGAAAATGCATTTTCAGACATGAAAGGACAAAGAATTTTCAAGACTAATTACTGAAGAAGACCAGTTCTATGGCTCATTTTCTTGAAAGTCTAATAGTTGGTTTTTATTTATTTATTTAGATGCCAGAGATTAAACCAAGGGGCACTTGATCACTGAGCCACACCCCATTATTTTATATTTTGAGACAGGGTCTCACTAAATTGCTTAGGGCCTCACTAAGTACTGGGGGTGGTCTTCAACTTGTGATTCTCCTGCCTCAGCCTCCTGAGCCTCTGGGATTACAGGAATATGCTGCTATGCCCCCACACATTTTGGTTTTTAAGAAGCTATTTCATGAGGAATATACACTATTCACTCCTGGGACCCAGCCTACATAATTCAAAGACAGAGATATACAGCAGGTTAGCACTCCTGCGACTGTGACCTCTTCGTACCACTGCCCCTGCTAGCAAGGCTTCCACACCACAGCCCACCTCAAATGTCACCACTTCCATAGAGCTTTCACCACCAGCTCCTCCAGTCCACGACCACTCTCTCCTTCCTGAACCCCTGCAGCAGTCACTGTGAAATTGTTTATTGTTCATCTTTTAACTGATTTAAAATCACTTTTCATGATAGAAATTAAGATTACTATTTTTTCAGTGACTAGAGAAACCTTATAGTGAGTTCTTATATGAAAATTTCTACTTCTACATATAAATATATATTTGGGATCCCCAAGCAAAATACAGAATAGCCTCTTTACATTTATTATTTGAAATAGTGCTATGTAAAACAAGGACTTCTAGGATGGTTTCTAACCCTAAAGTCCAGGACTACAAGGCGTTAATACTTTCATAAAGCCTAGGGATCTGAGTGGATCTTACTTACAGTTGTCTAAGGACATACATCTCTGGATCAAATCAACATCATTATGCGACTGAAGGCCTTCTAAGTTTCAAAACTTTCTCAAGGTAAACCTATTGTGAATAAAATTGCTCACATACAAGTGTCCAATAAACAAAAATAAGCTGATGGAACAAGAAAAAAAGTCAAAATTCAATAGTAGAAGTCTGAAAGAAAGAAAAGCAAAAGGTCCAAAAATTTGGATGGGGTAAAGAGAAATAACATCTATATTTTCAGTAAATTCTATAAGAAACTTAGCCTTTCTCAACTAGGAGTATAGGCAGGAAACCAGAGGAGTACTAGCAGTGTCTGTGCCCTTCCTCTAAGCCCACTAATAAGACAGTAATGAAGTAAAGGAACAATCTTAAAAATGGAAAGACCGATGCTTACTGCAGAAGTTAAATTTTTTGTGGAGTAAAAGGCCACACTCTGAAAGAAAAATGGCACAAAAGGCCAAGTAACCAGAGGGAATTACCCATTTAATTATCCTGAAAGAGAATGACCCAAATATATTGTTAAATTCCTATTATTTTCTATGACCTAACGATGAGGAGAAGTCTTTCCTCAAAACTGTATTAATGCTTCAATAGTTTTCTTCAAATGCTATTAAGTAATGTAATCTTCTACCCTATAAAAAGTCTATCATAAATTCAATGAACCAGTTAGAATTTTGTCTTACATTTGTATGGTACTTTATGTAATTTACCAAATAATTTCTCACATATGATTCTATTCGATCCAAACCACACCCACACAAAATAGCCTGGGAGATACTATCCTTATTTTTCAGGTTACACAGCATACATATATCCAAAAGGATGCAGAGTACATAAGGAAAAAAAAAAAAGATATCTTAACTTTAAGACAAACTGTCTCTATATTCTGTGTCAAATATTAAAGGAGGCAAAGCAGCAAAGCTTTTCAAAATCCAGGAAAGCTAAGTCCCTGAGGAAATTTCTTGCTATTTATAAGGCCAAGTTTAATAAAGTAGAAGTAATATCTTCTAATTAAATAAGATATCATACTTTAATCTCCATATTAAATGAGAACAGATGAGAACAGATGAAACGAAGCCCTTATCATCATTTATAGCAGCTGCACTTATTTCTATCATTCATTTTTATTATGAAGATCCAACGATCAAGATATTTGGACTCTTACTAAAAGAATTCAGGAAAGCAATTGTGGTTCAATGTAAGCAGAACAGACTATAGAATCTAATATCCTGCCCCAGAGTTGCCATGGTAAATTATATGACCTCTTTATATTACCGCCACTCTATCATTGAAAGGCTTTTGAGAAAACTAGCAAAACAGTCAACATCACAATTTGGAAACCTACTTTTATTAAATATCTAAAAATTTGAGTCTCCTTATTGGATGTTCTGCTCAAAAGTGCACCAAAAGCTACTACCTACATTTTACAACATCTAGAGCTGATATTCACTCATGAACACAGAAACAAAGCCTTATCTCATTTCTGATATGTGATGGGAACTAATAAAATCTTGATCATCTCATGATTATGGATAAAAGCTAAAACCAGAGCCAGTCAATAGCAATAGAAGAATACTGGGTTGAACATATGAGTGAAAGAAACTATTTTCCACCCCAAAGGTAAAGGGTCAAAGCAGGCTTGCTGTTACTTACTCTTGGCTTACCACCTCCTCATCCTCTGAGGAAGATGCTGTTTCCTCCAGGTCCCGGGCCATCACAACTGGCATTTCCTTTAGAGTTTGTCATGCAGTCAGCAGACAGGGGCCTCAGAGACCTTTCCTTGCAGATTCACTGGATCAGACAATTTGGGTGGCACAGATTCCTGCAAGAAAATCAAGTGATCTGAAACATAATATAGTTTTCTCTTTCTTGATTTTGCTGGTGATCTTCCAAATAATGAAAAGGAATATATTCCTAAACAGTGCCCAACCTCCAGAATCCTACCTTCTATCACAGTGCCTCAAATATGCCACAAAAATCAAGATTTTTTTCAAACATACTGTCTATGCTCTGTGTAGTTGTAGAACTTAATTAAGTTTATTTCTCTCCCTTGTCTTTTATATACTAAGTCTAAGGTATACCAAAGCAGAAAATCCACTTCACTTTTAGGGCAATCTGAGGTAGGCGGCTGGTTCCCGAAAACAGATTCCTTGCCAGACAAATCCAACCTAGGTTAAAAATAAAAATTAAGACTCAAGTTTCCAGACCCTTGTGAATTTATTTAAACTGTGACAAGCACACAGGCTAGCTGCTATCATATTTATAGTAAAAACAATTCACCTGAACTAAAAGATTTATGAATATAATCCTCCTAATCAAGGGTCATATAAATAGGTGGGGAAAATTTTTCAGTGCCCTTCCAAATATCCTTAATTATTCTCACTAAAAATCACGAACTTTGATCTTAATCTTAAATAGGTATTAAGATTTCCTAATAGTATTAGGAAATTCCCAATACTGCATTTCTAACTTAAAAAGATTTTTAGAGGAAGGAACAGAAACTACAAAGAAAATAAAAATGTTTAAATGACCATAATCTCAATACTCAGAGATAATAATCTCGTGTCAATGTTTCTAAAATATTTGGACTCTTACTAAAAGAATTCAGGAAAGCAACTGTGGTTCAATGTATGCAGAACAGGCTATAGAATCTAATATCCTGCCCCAGAGTTGCCATGGTAAGTTATACGACCTCTTTATATTACCACCACTCTATCATTGAAACTTTATTTTCCTAAGCATTTATATAAACAGTAAGATTGTCAATAAGACGAAAAACACCCACCTGGATAAAGATTCCTACAGATTTTTCGCAAAAAAAAAAAAAAGCGAAATATCTAACAACCTTAGTGACTCTCTTCAGGGGATTCCAAAAGGGATTCCCCAATCTTTTCCCAAAATGTTGAGAAGTCCATTCAGTTAAAACAAGCCAAAGCTCCAAGAGAGGAAGGCATGCCAACCTTTGCCGGGCTCCTGCAGAACTAGGAGAGACTCCGCGCTCGGAAATGAAAGGAGTCTGGCTGAAAGGGAGTCCTTGCCATGAAGGGTCTGCCCTCAGCTCATCCCAATCCCAGGTAGGTCCGCGGGTGCTCCCCACGGGGAAGGCGCGGACACTCTGCAGCAGCAATTCAGCCTGGCGCGCCCGGAAGCCAACAGCTTGCTCCGGACTCAGGGGAAGTGCAGCGGACGGCGCCCGCCCAGACCTGGGAGCGCACCTCCCAAGGAAGGGGAGCAAGCCAGCGCAGGCGTTTACCTGTCTCATCTTCCCATGGCTCGGAGCAGGCAGGCGGGGACCGCGCTCTGCGCCTACCTTCCTCCTCCTTCCCCAGCCAGGCTCACGGCAGTCGCCGACGGCTGCTTCCCCCGTTACTACAACAACCAACAAGCAACCGCCCGCTCGGAGCCACTGCGCAGGCGCCGCCACCGGGCGCTGACAACGCCCGGCTGCGGGCGCTGACGGATGTCGTCACTGCGGCGCGGCGCGGGCGCTGAGCCCTGCTGCCGAAAGAAGGATGTCTTGGCTCCTATTTTCCACTCTTGTTTTCTCCGCCCCTAAAAGGTTGATTCCAAATCCATAATTCCGCCACGCTCAACAGGAGGGTTTACTGAGTGAGCGGCGTACCAGAGGAGAGGCTTAGGCAGCGGCTACCGCTGATTGGCAGCGAAGGGGTTCACTCCCTATCTCCTGCTCCAGCGTATCGGGAACAGCCAATCAAAGAGAGGGCTGACCGTAACGACCCAATCCTGAAGCCCGGCTGAGGACAGGGGCGGGGACAAATGGCTCAGGTGGACTTGCGGCTGGAGCAGGCCTGGGGGAGCTTATTTGCTGCTGGTTCTGTGGTGCTGGGGGTCCGATCGCCAGGTAGGAGAACTTGGAGAAGGAGCTTGAAGGTGTCTGTGTGGCATCTGATTGGGAGGATTTGGAGAGCCTGGGATAATAGAGGTTGCCAGGGGGGTACCTTTGGGGGAAAGGGGTTCGAGAGAAGATGACAAGGGAGAGTCAGGAACATGGAGTAAATTGGGAAAATGAAGGAATGGATGAATGAATGAGAAGCCTCTGTGAACTTAGCACTGTGCAAGGAGCCTTCACTTTTTCTCATGTAATTTCTATAACCCTTGAGGCATATATCTGTATCTCCCTTTTGCAGATGAGGAAACCGAGTTGCAGAGTATAAATGACTTGCCCAGGGCCCCATAGCTACTGAATGGTAGGGTTAAAATAGGAATTCCTCTCTCCTGACTCTTAACTTTTAACACCTATGCTGTACTGGGCCGGGGAAGAATTGAAGATAAATGTTGTATACTCTGATAAGACCCTAAAGCTTTAGGGAAATGGGATTGAGGAATTGGTGGAGCAATTCAGAAATGGCCAGGTTCTTGTCTTCAGCTATCTGCTGGGATTTCTAAGATTTATGAAATGGGAGTCATAAGTTCTGCTGAAAGGGCGTGGCATGAGGGCATCCATGCAACTTTTCTAACTCCGGCAAGAGACATGAAGCTCTAATTGAGAGGGGGTGAGGAAATAAAAAGAATAGGTGATTCATGGCCCAGGTTGTAAATGCCAGTGATGTCCAATAGACACCTATGCACTCAGAATTTGGATAGAGTCCTCCTTTGTAACACACATTTCCCTGAGGAGCTCATCAATTCACTTTTTCTTCTCTAGAGCTCTTTCTTGATTGGAGAAATCAAGAAAGAAATCACACTGTCTCAGGCAGTTGCTGACTTAAATAACCTATCTCAGCTGAGTAGCATGGAACTGTACTGAAACTCTACTGCCAAAGTGTCAAGGAAGCCCAATATTTTATTGTCACTTCAGGCCCAAGAAGTTAACCAGACAACAGAGAAAACTTGGACCAAAAGATAATAATGAATATGGGAAGAAGCTGTTCTTTATTAGAACTTCTTTATCTGGGATGCCTTCAAGTCAAACTGATTGAAATCACTATTCAACAAGGGTTGGTCTAAGATTTAAATATTTGGTCTAAGCTTTAAATATACTTGAAGACAGAAATGGATATGGTATGTTTGTCTTCATCAAAAACAGGAACATCATCAAAATATTCTCAGTGAGATAGTTTAGCAACAAAGTCTAACAGATCTCCCTGCCACATGTTAGCTGTATAACCCCAAGCAAGGCACTTATCTTCCAACTCTCATGTATAAAATGGAAATACTAATAGTATCTGTCTACCTTGTTGTAAGGATTAAATGAGATGATATATGTTAAGTTCTTGGCACAGAGCATGGCACAAGTGCCCAATAATTGATGGCTATTGTAAATTTTCTTACAACCCAGTACCAAGATTGCTGTTTCTTTCTCCATAAAGTCACAGCAGTTTTTTTTTTTTTTTTTTAACTTTTAAATTGTCCTAGTTTATGAAGCATGGTATATCTGGGAACCACAGTGAGAAAAACCTAATGATATAAATAGTGCCATTATACCACAGGTTCCACTCAATTGTATAAGGGTTTTATAGGCTTCAAAGAATCTGTCAACAATATCCAGGCAGGTGTCTGTAGTGGACTTAAAATCAATCACTTTTAAGCCACTTGCATGACAAAGGAATGGTATGAAAAAGTAAAGATATAGAAGTACTGATTCCAGCTAAGAGAAAGAAGTTCTGATTTAGGGTATTCCTGTATTTTGGAGAAAGTACTTAGACAAAGATAAGTACTATGTCACTTATTGAAAAGTATACAGTTCATTCGCCACTCTTAGTGTGACTAAGTATTGGGACCAGTTTCCATAAGCCTCACACAGAGATCCATTCTGTTACTTTATAATAATATAATAACATAATAATAATGATGTTTGTTCACCTCATTTTCTCTCCATTTTATCCTGGCAAATTGGTCATGTCCACCCACTGTATTATGGAACCTTTGTCACTTTGATTTAAGGTAAATATACACAGATATCAGGCTAACCCTGTGAAGTAAGAGTAGTGTGTTAGGAAAACCAGGGGCGAATGGATAGAAAGAACTTGGAGAGGAATTTGTGAAGTGATTGGTCAACTAAGCTCTGAACAGCCTTCATGTGTGGAATACAAGCTAACCACAGAGGTGAGAGGGCTATGGTTAAAGTGGACTGACCCTCATCGCCTCATGTCTTTTGCCTTTGTTTCCAAGGCAGAACACCTCCTCTGGTCTAAGGGAGTCATGAGCCGTTTCCTGAATGTGTTGCGAAGCTGGCTGGTTATAGTATCCATCATAGCCATGGGAAACACACTCCAGAGCTTCCGGGACCACACCTTTCTCTATGAAAAGCTCTACACTGGCAAGCCAAACCTCGGTAAGAACTCAAAAAACTGCATCCTATGTGGGAGTGATCTAGCTTTGGTTCCCAAGGCAGGCTGTACATCAGAACAACCCAGGAAACTTCAAAACAAATCCAGGCACCTATTTCTCTCTCCAAATCTAATTAATGAGCCTGGGAGAAGCTCAGGAATCCAGTTTCTGAAAACCTCCAGGTATTTCTGATGCTTTGGTAGCCATTAGAGTTAACAAACCATAGAAAGCACTTGACCCTTTCTCCCCAAGCTTCCCTGGATACCTTTTTGTTCCTTTTATACTTCCCTGGGCAGTTAGGGTGTACAAAAATGTTTATTAGAGAAAGTGAGAGAATAGAGTTGCTTGGTGACTCTGGGATGCTCCACTCAAAAGACATCAAGAAGCTTCAGAATCCCAGCGCCCTCTTCAGAAATCACCTGGTCCATGTTCCATGTTAAAGGTGGGGACAGTACTATCCAGGGTCTTCCCAGGCAGCGACGTAGTCCCTGAACAGATTCCCCAGATCCCTTCAAAGTGGTCTTCCAGAATGAAATTTCAGAATAGTGGCTCTCCCCAGTCCCGAGCCTCTCTGCAGAGAGCATTTTTACACTATAGCTTGTACTTCACCACGTGGGTGTGTGGGGTACTTGGAGCTATAGCATTATTTCACAGCAGCTGTCAGTTCTGTGTCACACTAACAGCTAACCCAGATTCCTGCTCTGACCTAGCTCATCTTTCTGCCACATCTAGGTATAAAATGAAATTAAATAGGCTAAGGATCATTTTGAACAAAGCTCAAATATATTAGGAGTAAAGAACCTGCAAAGGAAAGCAGGAAATTTCTGGGTTTTCACCTTTCAGGGCTGCCTCATGGAAGCCTATATAGATGCCCAGGATTTTAGAGGTCATCTGGTCTAGCACTTTGATTTTAAAGTCGAGACTGAGAAGCGCAGAGGTCATATGACTTGCTGTACAGCTGAGCAGAACATATATGTCAGGAGAAGGGGTGGAAGCTGCCTGCATCCAGTGATTTGGGGGCTCCTGTGGTGTTCTCCTAATGGTACCATGCTCTGGACTGTCCCATTGAATTTTACCTGGTCCTAGTCTGGTTAGGCCTACTGAAGCATTCCACTTAAGTCTCTTACAAATGAGAGCAAAATTTCCTCAGTCTTCTCTTTGGAAAAGCTATCAAATTATTTACAAAAGGATGTAGTTCTTGGGCTGAGGATGTAGCTTAGTGGTAAAGCACTTGCCTAGTGTGTATTGAGACGCTGAAACAAAAAGAAAAAAGGTAGCCCTCTAGGGCTAATGCTAGATATTTGGTTGGCATATGGAACTTTTTCTTACTACCAACTAAAGGTGCTCAATGCTGTGAATTTGGTAAAGCCATGAACCTTTCCAAAGGCTAGAAAATCCCTGAAGCCCAATTAACATGAAGAGATCTTTCAGTCATCAGTCTTGTCCCTTGAAATTTCTCTTGCTCAGGAAGGGATAAACCAGCAAAGGAAGTATCTTACCTTCGCTGTTTGGCATTTCCAAGCCACTGGATGCCTTAAATTAGTGGCCCTACATTTGTCACCCGAGCAGGGAGTTTCTAGAAAATACCTAAGCCAGTGCCCACCTCTAGAGTGTTTGGTGTAATTGATCTGCCACCTGGCCCTCAGTAACTTTATAAAATTCCCTCAGTTGATTGTAATAAGCAGCCCGGGTCAAGAACCACTGTTATGGGGGAATATGACCATACTTTGAGGGAAGGGTATTTAATGCCTCAGTGCCAGAATGAAGCCATCCAAAACAGAGTGTCCCCAGCAGAGCCCAAAGAAATAGCACTTTATTTCACTACCAAATATACAGAAAACCAGTCTGGTTTGGGCTTTGTTCAAACAACATAGATCTGGGTTCAGAAAGAGATCCAAGGATTTAGGTCTCACTGTATCTTTTAGGTATCTAGATTGGTGCCAATATCTCTGAGATCTCTCCCTGGATCAGTCTTAAAGTCTGTGGGTCTGGGTCCCAGGCATCTCGTTTTAACAGACCCATCTCACAGCATTCCCTAAAACCTGTCCTCGCCCAGTCTTTCT